AGAAATCCCGTCTTGGCGCCCGACTCGTCCATCCCTATTGACGCGTATGCCAAAAAGGGGTTTGTGTGCGCTCCTCTCTTGTTTTTGCCGGCGGCCTCACATTAGCATCTGTTTAGCGTCACTTGAGACATTTCAACAAAACAAACCGTAATCTACCATGTCACATGCTGGCAGTACGACTTGAAAACTAACTTGAATTCGAACCCTGGCTTGAAACCCTCGTTTGGAACCGAAGACGCACTAAGTCGAAGGTGTCAATTGAAAGCTTTGTCCTGATTTGGAACCCCACCCTCAGATTCGGAGATCTCATGCAAGCTTGCAACTCTACTTTGGAACCCGAACTCGAAAGCGGAACTCCCGCGTTGGAATCTTCACGCTGACTTCAAAGGCTGAACCAGGTTTGAACATAAAACCCCAACGATGGTTTGGATGCAAAGAATGCTAACATGCTAACATGCTAAGAGAACTCTGAGGCATTCGATGGTTTGGATGCAAAGAATGCTAACATGCTAAGAGAACTCTGATGCGTTCTAATGTTTTCTGAAATGGTCGGTTCAGCCACACGAAAGACTCGCAAAACGAGGTTTGCTGAGGGTTGCGATGGCTAAACTAACGTCGTCCTGCTCCTTCTTACCATCGGGCGAGCAATCCAAAGTATTTCACAGCTGCTTTTTCCGACTCCAAACATAAAGCTCGCCTGGCAGGACAAATTGCCCCAGGTCTGATGACGGGGAGTTACTTCGGAAACTTCCCAGAAAACGCAACGAGAGGTTTTGTCCTCTTGGAGTCGACGCCTTGACGGGAGCGACGCCGCCTCCCCTGTATGCCTCGTCCCCTCTTTCCTTCATTTTGACTTTCTTTCGTTTTTTTCTTTCTCTGTCCGGGGGAGTTACTTCGGAAACTTCCCAGAAAACGCAACAAGAGGTTTCGTCCTCTTGGAGTCGACGCCTTGACGGGAGCGACACCGCCTCCCCTGCATGCCTCATCCCCTCTTTCCTTCTTTTTTCTTTCTCTGTCCACACAGCTGCCAAAACAAACTGTCACTGCGATGAGCGTAATAAATATGAGCGATGGGATATCGGCTGGTGCTGACCTCACAGCGCGCGGCCAGTCGGGGGAGCGGGTGCTGCTCAGATTTATGACCCCCACCCCACCGCACCCTCGCCCACGCCCCCCCTTTCTTCCATTGACAGCCTCCCGCCGCCGTCCGATGATATTCGATGCCACACACGAGCTCATTTTGGCCCGACTGGGAAAACTCAAGCTCGAAGCCCTAAACTTTGTTTACAAGGCCCAAAACTCTCATTAAATACGACAACCATCGTTTGAAACCATGTTTCACACACGAAATCTTATTTGGAATCCTAATTTTTCAAGTTTCAAGTCTACTGAAGATAAAAGGGCGGGCGGGTTTCTCCCGGTCTGCTAGGGGCATGCGATCGTTTAACGTGGCCGTTTGAATGACGGATTTGATACGACTGCTCACAGTCAGATCGGAATCAATCGGCGCGCCGAGGTTTCGGACTTGCTCTTTTGTGTTTGGCCTTTTCTTTATTACCATCAACAATTCCCGCTGTTTTCCTCGGGTTGAGTTGGAGGAAGATTTGCTCGATCCAGTTTTTCATTTGCTCGAGACAGTTAACACGACAACCGTAGTATGTCGCATGTCGTGGTACGTAAGTGGATCGTTTGTCGGCGCACGCGTAAAAATGTGTGGCGGCACACCGCTGTGCCACGGAATCCCTCGTCAGAGACAATTCCAACGCTGATGGGGTCGATTACTTGCGGATTTCCACCTGCCTTGCGCATAAGCAGATTGAGCGGCAGGCTTGCCTCAAATTGCCGACCGAGACAAAGCGGCCTTGTCGTCCGCCCTCACGTTCAGTTTGAGCGTTCATATCAAGTAAAGGTCGCAATCAAACGCGAGGCGAGTCGACCTCTCCGACACTTAACCCTCGTCAGCGGCGCTTAAAAGCGACCCCCTCCCCCGAGCGAATCCTCGCCGGGTATTGGGACACGTCGGGCTCATTACCGACTCGCCGAGCGGCCCCACTCGATTGGTTTCATTCTCATCCGCCGACGGGATTAAAAATGGCCAGATTAGGAATGAACTCGTGGCTCCATGAAAGTCTTTTTAGCGTGTTAGCAGTTAGCACCTCGTACATCGTTCTCCATTTCCCTGCCGTGTTCGGTCATATGACTGAAATCTTTGTTCAGCACGAATGAGGACCTGATTCATTTTTGCCCGAGGAAAGCTCTCTGGTTCTGTGTTGGTTACACCTCTACTACAGTCGTCCAAATATAGACGAGCAAATGCCAAAAAGCTGATTTGCATCACTGGCCCACACAAGCAACAAATGACGGCGATGAGTACGACGGACGTCAAAGCGTAGCATCCGGTACCTGTGTAGCCCAAAGAGTTGTCTTCGCCGTGTCCCGTGGTGGGAGCCGCCGTCGGAGCCTCGCTCAGCCCGTCCTGCGCCACTCCCGTCTCTGTCAACAATAACACCACAGGGACTGAGAAGCCGGAAGCCTCTTCCGCATTGTGCCCGCTGCCCGCCGCGCAGGCCCAGAGCAAACACAGGCTCCATCCTTGCCAATTGTCCATCCCGGTCAAGAAAAATGCATCTCAAAAGGAATTCTGAGCGGCGGTGATGTAATTGAGTCGCTGAGCGTCTCAGCAGAAGGTGGTCGTCTCGTCTCGTGTCCCGGAGCTGCTTGACGCCGAAGTGAGTGGGACAACAGTCAACTCTCTCAATAAGTGGCTGTACCCCATACAAAGGGGGCTGAGGGGGGCAGACTGACACTCACTGACATCAACCAGCATTACCCGCCCCCCGACCCCCCCCCCCCACACACACACACACAGGCTTGATGCAAATCCAATTATGCGCCATTAATTGCTAATTAGTGGTGACTTTTGTGTCATCTTCAGAGTGACGGAGAGCGCACGTGGGCGGGACCAATCAGACACAGCCATGCTAAATCTCTTTGTGGGTCAAGACGGGTTCATTTCAGGGACCATAGGATCTAACGCCCCCTGTCCACCCCTCAGCACTGGCCTTTTGCACCTCACCCAGTGTCAATCTGTCCCGAGTATTTGTCTCCTCGGTGAGGTCGGGCATGACTTGCGGTAGACAACGGGCGGCCAGATGGGAAATTTCGCCGGAGAGCGCTCGACACCGGCCAAGTGTGACCACGAAGGGCGGAGACTTACTCTCCTTCTGTTTATTTCTATTGTGCAAGGTGGCAGTTATCATGAGGAACTGGTGAGGGGCCTTGGGGCAGATGAAGACGGGGAGGCGAGGGTGGGAATGGGGGGGCAATCATCGTACGACATTTAACACGCGCATGTGCTCTTGCTGCGGACTACTTTTCAGCCACAAAACGTGCACAGGCTATTCGCTTGAGTGCTGCGAGGTCAACGCTGGCAACAGGCGCCGTACAGTACAACGTCATTTGTTTTAAGCTCCCTTAATTAATGAGTGTCGTGTTTTGCCATCAATAGCAACGGTTTATGACGGCAATAAACGCTCCGAACGCCGTCTGGAAGTCAGCCGTTGTGCCGCGACAAGCTGCAACAATTGAACAACTTCAAAATAAAAGCGCGCCTACGCATGGATGTCCACGTTTGGCAATTTAGATTTGTATTGAAGTTGTCCTCCTTACTGCGTTGGTGGCCTGTTACTGTTAGCTTGACTTCTTCTTCCTAACAGTGTACACATAAATAAGCGGGTACTTGGACAGAAAAAAAAAACAAATGCCTCGGGATTGCTTCGTGATTCTCTCTCATACCACAAGAGGGAGTGCCACACTGTTCATGTTGTCGTGTTTACTTGTCTTTGTGACTCACTATTTGGCAAGTGATACAGTTGCTTTCCAACTGGCATGGATTGCTCGTCAGGATTTGACAAACAGGAAGTCAATGACATTCTTCTGCAAAGTATGAAACAAACAAAGTGATTCTAAACCCTTCATAAAATACTTATTTTGTCGAAAGTTTGACAAACACAAAAGACACTTGACGAACCGGGCGCCAGGCACACGCGCGCACACACACACACACACACTGGAAATGGGGATGAAAGATGAGATAAAAGCAGCAGCAGCCTGTCTGACTGTTGGAACACGACACCGACAGGCTTTGTTTTCGCGCTTGTCACAACCCAAAATAGAACAAGAGCGGTGCAACGTCTTCATGACTTCATCCTTGAAGCCCAACCAGTCTCTCACTTACTTTTTATTTTTCTTATACAAAAAAAAAAGTGTTTTTTTTTTTCTTCTCCCTCCCAATGTACCCACACTCAGTTGTCAAGGAGACGGCCCCGGATTGAAGCGATAGATCAGATGACGTTGTTCAATGTGCTCAACTAATAAATGAACATGAAGACACGGTGCAGTTACGATATTTGACAAATTCATTGCCCCGCGTTGAAATGCCGATTTGAAACCCTCACGCAGGCTTGAAAGCCGACTTTGAAAGCTGGATTAAAGCGTCACATCTAGATGGGAAGCCTTCTTCAGATACCCAACCCTCCCCCTGGCTTGAAACGTTCATTTGAAAGCCTCTCTCCCTGGCTAGCAGCCTAAATGGAATACGGACGAAACCCTAAATGGAAACCCCAACCCTAATTTGGAAGTCTACGGCTGGCTCGGAAGCCCGGTTTGAAACATGAAGCCTTGTTTGAACCCAATTTTGAAACCCAGTCACTAGTTTGAAACCTTCGCCTGGGCCCAAACCCTTGGGCGTAAACTTTCACTTGAAAAGCCAACTGTGGCTCGAGAAGCCTTCACCGTGGTTTGAAAGACCGATTCCGAGGCCATTCCTCTCTTGGAAACCGAAGCCCGGCCCTCGTTTGCAACCCGATTCGCAATGAACGAGATGATAAAAAGAGCCAAGATTCCTCATTGAAACTGCGCGTCTGTTCTTAGTTGAAAAATGAAACTTGAATCATGTCATGCAAAAGTAAATATTACATCGACACAATTTATTCATAAAACGTGCAGGCTTCCCGCCAACATGGATTAAAAATGTAATTCTTCTCGCTTTTTACGTTCCTGCTTCAATTATTCATTCGACATTTCACATCAACACGAGTACGGTAAAGACTCCAGCAGCCCTTGTGTGTTTATTACACTCAATATTTCATTTTCTGTTCTTGACACGATCCTTTACGTCCCGCCGAGCCTGCCGTGCAGAAATAGCTTTTCACGATTGGCTAGCTTCCCGCGGTGCGTTTCCAACAGTGATGAATCGTCGCTAAATAATGTTGTTGTTGTTTTGACAAATGCTAACGAAAGC